TTCATATTCATGTATGAAAATAGAGTTGTTTAAAAAAACGAGGGGGATATGAAAGTAAGAATGGATGAACTTGATACATAGTATGTATTGTGCATGTATAGAAATAACCACAAAAGAAACCTTTGTACATTATATATCTAATAAAAATAAACATTTCCTAATTAATCAAAATAACATATTGAATATGCATAGACTACATTTTTTACTGTCCATTTCAAATAAGAATTCCTTCATGCATGTTTGTGATTAATCAGTGCTTCATTATGGTATTCATGCTTAAACATATTGTTATTGGGAACTTAGCAGAGGGACACGGGACTCTAAGGCAAGGAAGGCCAACGCTTTATTATGCGCACAGACTCAGCAGACTTGTGTCCAAAGGGGAGGCACCAAGAACAAAGGGCGTCTCACCTTATGTAACCCTTGCAAGCAGGTTACAGAGGCAATAAAAATTTAAAAAACAAGGTTAACCCAATATGGTTAAAATGCAATTCTATAGGCTATGGCACCATAGTTGCTAAGTGCTCTTTTACCCTAATACTATGGTGACCTTCTTCACATTTGGTTTCCTTCCTTCCTTCCTTCCTTCCTTCCCGTTCCCTCCTTCCCTCCCTCCCTCCCTCCCTCCCTTCCTCCTTCCCTCCCTCCTTCCCTCTTCCTTCCCCCCCTGCCCCACCTCCACCCCACCCGCCCCCTCTCCCCCTACCCCCTCAATACCGCAGAAACTATTTTGCCCTTATCTCTAATTTTGTTGAAGAGAGAGTATAAGCAATAATAGGAAGGAACAAGGGTTTTTGCTAGTTGAGATAAGGATAGCTATACAGGGAGTTGACTCACATTATTTCCTGTGCGTGGGTGTTACCTTCTAGGTTAATTCGTCTTGATCTAACCTTTTCTCTAGTTCCTGGTCCCCTTTTCCTATTGGCCTCAGTTGCTTTTAAGGTATCTGCTTTAGTTTCTCTGCATTAAGGGCAACAAATGCTAGCTAAGTTTTTTAGGTGTCTTACCTATCCTCACTCCCTTGTGTGCTCTCGCTTTTATCATGTGCTCAAAGTCCAATCCCCTTGTTGTGTTTGCCCTTGATCTAATGTCCACATAAGAGGAAGGACATACGATTATTGGTCTTTTGGGCCAGGCTAACCTCACTCAGAATGATGTTCTCCAATTCCATCCATTTACCAGCGAATGATAACATTTCGTTCTTCTTCATGGCTGCATAAAATTCCATTGTGTATAGATACCACATTTTCTTAATCCATTCGTCAGTGTGGGCATCTTGGCTGTTTCCATAACTTGGCTATTGTGAATAGTGCCGCAATAAACATGGGTGTGCAGGTGCCTCTGGAGTAACCTGTGTCACAGTCTTTTGGGTATATCCCCAAGAGTGGTATTGCTGGATCAAATGGTAGATCAATGTTAGCTTTTTAAGTAGCCTCCAAATTTTTTTCCAGAGTGGTTGTACTAGTTTACATTCCCACCAACAGTGTAAGAGGGTTCCTTTTTCCCGCATCCTCGCCAACACCTGTTGTTGGTGGTGTTGCTAATGATGGCTATTCTAACAGGGTGAGGTGGAGCCTTGGTGTGGTTTTAATTTGCATTTCCTTTATTGCTAGAGATGGTGAGCATTTTTTCATGTGTTTTTTGGCCATTTGAATTTCTTCTTTTGAGAAAGTTCTGTTTAGTTCACTTGCCCATTTCTTTATTGGTTCATTAGTTTTGGGAGAATTTAGTTTTTTAAGTTCCCTATATATTCTGGTTATCAGTCCTTTGTCTGATGTGTAGCTGGCAAATATTTTCTCCCACTCTGTGGGTGTTCTCTTCAGTTTAGAGACCATTTCTTTTGATGAGCAGAAGCTTTTTAGTTTTATGAGGTCCCATTTATCTATGCTATCTCTTAGTTGCTGTGCTGCTGGGGTTCATTGAGAAAGTTCTTACCTATACCTACTAATTCCAGAGTATTTCCTACTCTTTCCTGTATCAACTTTAGAGTTTGTGGTCTGATATTAAGATCCTTGATCCATTTTGAGTTAATCTTGGTATAGGGTGATATACATGGATCTAGTTTCAGTTTTTTGCAGACTGCTAACCAGTTTTCCCAGCAGTTTTTGTTGAAGAGGCTGCTTTTTCTCCATCATGTATTTTTAGCGCCTTTGTCAAAGACAAGTTGGTTATAGTTGTGTGGCTTCATATCTGG